CCAGTGAAGAAATGGGCAGAAAACATGAATAGACACTTCTCTAAAGAAGACATCCAGATGGCCAACAGGCACATGAAAAGATGCTCAACGTCACTCCTCATCAGGGAAATACAAATCAAAACCACTCAGATATCACCTCATGCTAGTCAGAGTGGCCAAAATGAACAAATCAGGAGACTATAGATGCTGGAGAGGATGCGGAGAAACGGGAACCCTCTTGCACTGTTGGTGGGAATGCAAATTGATGCAGCCACTCTGGAAAGAAGTGTGGATGTTCCTCAAGAAATTAAAAATAGACCTACCCTGTGACCCAGCAGTAGCACTGCTAGGAATTTACCCAAGGGATACAGGAGTACTGATGCATAGGGGCACTTGTACCCCAATGTTTATAGCAGCAATCTCAACAATATAGCCAAATGATGGAAAGAGCCGAAATGTCCATCAACTGATGAATGGATAAAGAAATTGTGGTTTATATACACAATGGAGTACTACGTGGCAATGAGAAAGAATGAAATATGGCCCTTTGTAGCAACGTGGATGGAACTGAAGAGTGTGATGCTAAGAGAAATAAGCCATACAGAAAAAGATAGATACCATTTGTTTTCACTCTTATGTGGATCTTGAGAAACTTAACAGAAACCCATGGGAGAGGGGAAGGAAAAAAAGAGGTTAGAGTGGTAGAGAGCCAAAGCATATGAGACACTTAAAAACTGAGAACAAACTGAGGGTTGATGGCGGGTGGTAGGGAGGGTATGGTAGGTGATGGGTATTGAAGAGGGCATCTTTTGGGATGAGCACTGGGTGTTTTATGGAAACCAATTTGACAATAAATTTCATATATTAAAAAAAAGAAAAAATCTGTCATAATTGTTTTAAAAAAAGAAATTGTGGTTTATATACACAATGGAATACTACGTGGCAATGAGAAAGAATGAAATATGGCCTTTTGTAGCAATGTGGATGGAAGTGGAAAGTGTTATGCTAAGTGAAATAAGTCATACAGATAAGGACATATTCCATATGTTTTCAACCCTATGTGGATCCTGAGAAACGTAACAGAAGACAATGGGGGAGGGGAAGGTAAAAAAAATGGTTAGAGAAGGAGGGAGTCAAAACATAAGAGACTCCTAAAAACTGAGAACAAACTGAGGGTTGACGGTGAGGGTGGGAGGGAGAGGTGGGTGGGTGATGGGTATTGAGGAGGGCACCTTTTGGGATGAGCACTGGGTGTTGTATGGAAACCAATTTGACAATAAGTTACATATTAAAAAAATATTTACTTAGTCCTTTCTCTTTTGTTTTTGCTAAGTATGGCCTTGGTTTATCATTTTTAGTTATGCTTCCAAAAACCAGTTTATAGTTTCATTGATCTGTTTTACTGTTTTTGTTTGTTTCTTTATCATTTATTTCTAGTCTAGTGTTCTTTATTTACTTTCTCCTGCTGGCTTCAAGTTTCATTTTCTGTTCATTTCCTACCTTATTTAGATGTAACATGGTTGTGTGTTTGAGATTTTTCTTCTTTCTTGAGTTTGGCCTGTATTGCTATATATTTCCCTCTTCCAACCACTTTTGCTGCATCCAGATCGTTTGGCACTGGCATGTTTTCATTTTCATTTGCTTCCATGTATTTTTTACTGTTTCCTTAATTTCCTGAAAATCTCCTACATTCTTTACTACAATGTCTTTAACTTCATGTATTAGTGGTATTGCTGAATGTTTTCTTGTGGTTCACTTCAAGTTTCATAGTGTTCTGGTATGAAATTATTCTTGGTATTATGTCAGTCTTTTTGAACTTTTAGAGGGCTGGTTTGTGACATAGTATGTGATCTGTTCTGGGGAATGTTCTATGTGCACTCAAAAGGATTGTGTATTCTGCTGTTTAGAATGGAATATTCTGAATATATCTGTTCAGTCCATTTGGTCCAGTGTGTCTTTCTCAGCCATCGTTTCCTTATTGATTTTCAGCTTAGGTGATGTGTCCATTGTTGTAAGTGGAGCATTAAAGTTCTCTATTCCTATTATTGTATAATTATCAATTAGTTTCTTTATGTTTCTTATTAACTGATTTATGTATATCAGTGGTTACAATTTTAGCATATAAATATTTAAAGATTTATATTTTCTCGTTGGATAGACCAGTTTATGATGATATACTTCCTTCCTCATCTCTTGTAACAGATTTTGGTTAAAATCTAGTTAGTGTCATATGAGTATGGTACTACAACTTTATTTTGACGTCTGTTAGCGTGATAAATTGCCATCTCTCCCCTCATTTTCAATCTACAGGTGTTTGGGTTGAAGATGAGTCTATTGTATGCAGTGTATAGAAGGTCTTGTATTTTTTTTTATCCATTCTGTTTTCCTATGTCTTTATATTGGAGCATGTTGCCCTTTTACGTTCACAGTGATTATTGATCGATATAAACTTAGTGCCATTGTGTTACCTCTAAAGTCACTTTCTAGAGGTTTTCTCTGCTTATTTCTAGTCTTGTTCATTTTAGTCTTCCTATCTCACTCAAAGAGTCCCATTTAGTAATTATCAAAGGGCTGGTTTAGAGGCCACAAACTCCTTTGGTTTTTGTTTGGGAAATTCTATCTCTCCTTGTATCTGAATGAGAGCCTTGATGGGTAAGTATTCTTGGCTGCATATTTTTGAATTGGGCATGTGAGGATATCATGCCACTCCTTTCTTGCCTGCGGGTTTCTATGGAGACATCTGCCATTATCTTTTATGTCTTTCCTTTTTAGTTAGCGACTTCTTTTGACTTTCTGCTTTTAGTGTTTTTCTTTATATGTATGTTTTGCTAATTTTACTGTGATATGTCTCCGTGTTGGCTCCTTTTTTTTATTTTAATGGGAGTTCTCTGTGACTCATAGATTTGGACAACTGTTTCCTTCCCCAGTTTGTGAACATTTTCCACTATAATTCACTCAGATAAAACTTCTCCCTTTTTTTTCTCCCTCTCTTCTTCTTCTGAGACTCCTTTGAAAAGAATTCTATTACATTTTATGGAGTTGCTGAGTTCTCTCAGTGTACGTTTGTGATGCAATATTTAATTTTCCTCTTCTTTCCTGCTTCATTTACCCCATAATTTTATCTTCTATGTCACTTATTCATCTGCTTCTATCCACCTGAGGTCATTACATACAATCAGATTCACATCTCAGTTATAGCAGTTGTAAAGTTTCAGCCTGACAGGTTTTTAGGTCTTTCCTATCTGCAGACAGGGTATCCTCCTGTCTTGTATGCTTTCCTCAAGAATAGCTAGTATCCTTATGATAGTTTTAAAAAAATCTGTTTGAGGCATATTGGTTATATGTGTTTTAATTATATCCCTGGCAATGACCTTTTTGTCGTTTTTCTTTTGGAATGAATTCCTCCATCACTCTGTATATCTATGTCTCTGCTTTATTAAGTTTTTAGGAAAATCCTGTTATGTTTTCTGCTTCTAGAGTAGTGTCTTTATTGAGACATGTTTGCATACTGTTGAGGACCTGACATTTCTGGAAGCATTTCTTGCATGTGCTGTGTGCACTGTGCTGTCATGTATTGGCTGCTCTGTCCCTCAGGTCAGACCCCTGCAGACTTTCTCCTTCCTCCAGTGGGGAGTTTTTCAACTTTGTCCATAATGTTGTGAGTTTTCACTAGGTGAGTTTGTTCCACCTGTTAAAAGAGGCTAATTCCTATCTCCCCTAGAGGTAAAGCTTTGCCTCACTATATGGTCAGTAGACTTGGTGCCTGTGGGGGTATATGGTGGTCTTTGGAGGGAGGTGCACGGTGCTGGTCTGGTTTTCAGGCACTCTTTTCCCTCAGATGAACCATCTGAGGAAGACAAGGGAGGGTGGATCTTGGTGTCAGTGGCTCAACTTCTACTGGGGTGTGCTGTGCTGCTCACTGACCTCTGTCCATGATGATTGGTGGGAGGAAATATTGGCATCAACTCCCCCTCTAGTCCCTGCAGTTGGAGTTCCCAGCCGCCCCTGTTCGGGAAGCCATCACACAGAGAGAACAATCTGTACTCGTGGGTCCAAGTCAGAACCCTGCCTTCACCCTGTCTGTGTCCAAGCCATTGGCACAGACCTGGTGGCACAGAGCTCTTATGTTTTATCTCAGGAGCTCTAGCTGGTTTGAAAACTCCAAATTGTATGAACTCAATATACAGGGACCCCACTGATCCTCTGGGAGAGGGTTTTTCTGTGCTGTGGCTGGAGCTGGTTATCCCACAAGGGCAGTTTCTTGAACACTAGGGGCTTGGAGTTCATGGTGAGGAGCAACAAGAAGGCAGCATAGAGTTATCTGCTCTCAGCAGGGGCTCCAACACTAATGACCAGGGCAGTGCAATGATGCCTGTCAGCTCTCGTGTCCCATGAGAGGCAATGCCCCCTCTCCCAAATGCACTCCAAGAAGGGGACTGTCTCCCCCATGCGACCCAGGGGATCCTCAGACAGCAGTGCCCCCATGGGCCTCTGTCCTCCTTCTTCACAGGAGCACTGCCATGCCCACCAGGCTCCACCCCAGTGACGGCATGGACTTCTAAATCTTTAGTCTTTGAACTCCACATTTACAGGAGGTTAAATTGTCATGATTACCTTTATGTGTCATCTTGACTGCATCATGGGTACACAGATTAACCACTGTTTCTGTGGATTTCTGTGATGTGTTTCCAGAAGAAATTGGGATTTCCATCCATGGTTTCTGTCTGCCTGGACATCACCCATTCCATTAAGGTTCTGAATGAAATCTGATACAGAGGGAGGAAGAATCCCCTCATTTTTACTTCCCATGTGCTTGTTTGAACTGGAAGGGTGGTTCCCTCTGGCCCTTTCTCTGAGAGTTATATCATTAGGTCTCCATGTTCTGAGACTAGACACTAGCTCAGAATCAGATGAGAATTACACCACTCATTTTCCTGGGTCTCCATCTTGTGACAGTAGATCATGGGACTTCTCAACATATTTTGTCATAGGAACCGATGTACTTTGGGTTCTTTTCCTCAGGAGAATCTGGACTAATACATGGAGATGATTTATCTCTTGTTGAGAGGAATTGAATAAAGCTGTAGCTCATTTAAAGTCCTGAGTAGCAAATACCAGGAGGGAAGTATCACATTGTTTGATTGGGACAAGGGCTCGGTGAAGATAATGGGGAGTTGTGGGATCCTGTGGTCCTGTCTGCACAGGGAGTGTATCTGAGACTCCTGTAAAGGTTCAGCTTTTGTGCCTCAGTAAATCTGCAATTCACTCATATTGAGGGACAGGAGTAAGCAATGCAAACAACTGTGTCTTTGTGCATGTTAGTCTAGTTTCCCTATGACAACACAGTTGCTAATCCAGAGAATTAATAGGTAAACACAGAATCATAACCAGGGAGGCTCCCTGGGGAAACTGCTGTGTGGAGAGGAAGCCCAAGACCCTGAAAGAAAACCTTCCTGTAACCTCCATCTGCACCTGAGCCTGGGAACACAAAGCAAAATTGTGCATAGTGTTCGCCCCCTGGCGGTGCTGATCCCCTCCTGCAGGGAGGTTTGTGTCTGGGCTCCCAGTGACGACCCCTCACTGTGTCTCTTGCACAGTAATATGTGGCCGTGTCCTCGGTCTTGAGGTTGTTCATCTGCAGATACAGCGTGTTCTTGGAGTTGTCTCTGGAGATGGTGAATCGGCCCTTCACGGAGTCTGCGTAGTATGTGCTACCTCCACTGCTACTAATATATGCGACCCACTGCAGCCCCTTCCCTGGAGCCTGGCGGACCCAGTTCATTTCATAGCTACTGAAGGTGAATCCAGAGGCTACACAGGTGAGTCTCAGGGACCCCCCAGGCTTCACCAGGTCTCCCCCAGACTCCACCAGCTGCACGTCACACTGGACACCTGCAGACACAAGACATCTTGGTCAGGAAACTGTCACAAATCCACCGGTTCTCACTCATATCCACTCACATACTCAGTGTCCCTCATTCACCATGAATTACCTTTTAAAAGAGCAACCAGGAAAACCCAGCCCAGCACAAACTCCATGGTGAGGTGTGTGTGTGTTCTGTGCTGATCACAGAATTGGAACACCTGGGACTTCTGGGGCTGGGGCTCCTCTCCCAGCTGCAGGGTCGGTGCTGGGCTGGTTTTATCAGCACAGAGAGGGCCCCATTTGCATGTGCTCTGACTATATATCAAACTCCAGACTTCAATTTGTTTCAAATTTGAAACCAGTGTTTGAGAGGCACTTCTAGATCACTTCTTGCAGAAGGCGCTGTGACAATACAAATAATTCGAATCTGTGAACACAGTTATGTTTTCAACTGTGTTTTCCATTTACATGTCTTTCTCCCAGCACATCATGTTTGGTATGCTACTTTACCCTTTAGTGAAATTTAATTGTAAATACTTTATTTTGTGCCATATAATTTTAATATGTGTTTATTTTTGTGTGACAGAGGAGAGAGAGAGAAGGGGACAGAGAATCCCAAGCAGGCTCTGCACAATCATTGCAGACCCTGCCTCAGAATTAAACTCAGGAACCATGATATCATGACCTGAGCCAAAATGAACAGTAGGCACTTAACGGATTGAGCCACACAGGTGCTCCATTTTGTGCCATTTTCAATTGTGTGATTTTGTTATTTTTTTTCATATAGTATGTTTTTGGTGTGTGGAAATACAACATATTTTTGTATGCTGATTTGTATCCTGAACTTATCCTGAGTTTATTAGTTCTAATACTTTTTTTTTTGTGGAGTTTCTAAGGTTTCACTATATGTAAGTTAGTGTGATTCTCAAATAAATAATTTTCTTCTTACTGATTTACATGTCTTTATTTCATTTATTTTAATTTTTATGGGTACATCTTCAACTTGTAGGAGCAGAAATCTTATTCCTTCTTTGCTTCTGTGTTCTTTATCTGGTCTAAGGATTCAACTGACATAAGACAGATCTACAGAAGAGAATAAATTTCATTTTGCATGTGCACAAGCTTCCTAATAATATGACACCCAGAGAATGAAGAAACTAGGTGGCACTTGTGCCTTTTAGAGTAATAAACAATGGATTTGTGAAGAGTTAACAAGACAGAGATTTGGGTTTGGGCAAGTCAATTAGTGAGGAATTAACAAGGCTTGTTTGCACAGCCTTCTTGGCGCTAAGTTCCCATTTCTGGTGCTAAGGATAGTTCTTCCATTCTGGTAGAGGGGAAGAAGTTTCCCAGAAGAGATTTATTTCCTGCTCTCAGGGGGACAAAGAAGGGTCACAGTTTCCTTAGACTAGCTGTTACTCAATTGACTTTCCTCCAAATAAGCAATGTGACAAGATGACATACATTGGGTGCCATATTTTACTGGTCTTCGTGTTACCATGTGGAATACCTATGTAGGGAATGAGCATCCTTGCCCGGCTCCTAATGTGACAGGAAAAGCTTCAGTTTTTCACTGTTAAATATGCTGTCAGGTGTGGGCTTTTCATCTATGGCCACGGTTTTGTGGAGGTAATTTCTTTCTTTCCCTCAGTTGCTGAGATTTTTTAATAATGACAATTTGTTGAATTTTGTCTAGTTTTATATGTGTCAATAGATGATGATATGGATTATCAATAGATGTGACTGTATTGTCACATATGATCCTTTCATTGTGCTGTTGAATTCACTCTGCTAGGATTTTTGCATGTATGTCCATCTGAGATATTGGCCTTTAGTTTCTCTTCTTATAGTGTCTTTTGATTACACATAATAGTAAGGTTGGTCTTCTAGATGAATTGGGACATATTCCTTTCTTTTCAGTTTTTGGTAAGAGTCTGAGAGGTATTGGCATTAAATCTCCTTTATATTTTGATACAATTCATACATAAAGCCCTCTGTTAGTAAACTGAGTTTTTTTTTCTTTTGGGGCGGATTATGATTAGATTATAGATTTAGTCTTATTTGTTTTCATTCTGTTAATTTTCTATTTTCATGTACAGTCTTGCGGATTCTTTGACTCTATACATTTCCTAGTTGCCCTTAGATATCTAATAATGGGTCTATAGATATCTAGGCATTTTCTGTTATTGTTTTTCACTTCCTTGGTATCAGTTATGTCCCCTCCTTAATTCTTATTGTATTTGTTTGAGTTTTACGTATTTTCCTAGTAGAGATGCTTTTTAAATTGCATTTAGCTTTCCAGATATCCATTTCAATTTGTTAATTTTTTGTATTATTACACTTTTTATTCCTTTTATCTGTTCTAATAATTTCTAATGTTAGTTGAGTTAATAAAAATGCCAATGAATGTATCTGGGAAATTCTTATTTATATGGTACCACAAAGCACACAGAAGTGAGAAAACAATCCTGAGAAAGAAGAACAAACCTGCAGACAGCACACGTCCTTCTTTCTAAGTATATTGCAGAGGTACATTGTCTATAACACTGTGCTGCTGGCCTAGAGTCAGACAGACCAGTGGAGCAGGTTACAGAGACCAGAATGAAATGGGTCTGGATGCAGTCAGCAAATCCTCCATGAGATTTCATAGAATTAAAATTAGGGAAAAAATGGCCTCTTTCACAAATGGTTTTGATTTCCAGTGAGTAAAATAATGACATTTGGTCCTTATCTTATACCATACAGATAAGTAGACCCCCATTCATCTCTGGAGTCTGGCAGATCCACCTCATCAATTAGCTACTGAAGGTGAATCTAGAGACTGCACAGGAGAGTCTCAGGGACCCTCTCCCCTGCCAGGCTTCATCAGGTCTCCCCCAGACTCCACCAGCTCTACGTCACACAAGACATCTACAGATACAAGTCAGAAAACTGTCACACATCCATTGTTTCTCTCACTCATATCCACTAACATAGTCAGTGTTTCTTGTTCATCATGAATTACTGTTTATTTTTTTTTTTTCAATGTTTATTTATTTTTGGGACAGAGAGAGACAGAGCATGAACGGGGGAGGGGCAGACAGAGAGGGAGACACAGAATTGGAAACAGGCTCCAGGCTCTGAGCCATCAGCCCAGAGCCCTACGCGGGGCTCGAACTCACGGACCGCGAGATCGTGACCTGGCTGAAGTCGGACGCTTAACCGACTGCGCCACCCAGGCGCCCCATGAATTACTGTTTAAAATAGAACCAAGGAAAACCAAAGTGAACCCAACTCCATGGTGAGATGTCTGTGTTCTGTTCTTATCACTGAATGTGAACACTTAGGGGCTGGGGCTCTTCTCCCAGCTACAGTTTCAGGGATGGGAGGGCTTAATCAGCATACAGATGTCCTTTGACAATATAGTAAATTTTGCAATAGAATCCTCAAGAAGCAAGTGACCCTTGGCAGGTGTAAGGGATGGGGCAGTGTTTTGTGTCACAATATCTTTCAGGACATTGTGATTTATTAATTTGTGGTTTTGCTGCAGTGATTATAAGTACCGATGATAATCCTTATTTTCACATATGCACCCAAACACTTGAGGTAAGAATCAGTATACCACCATTGTAATGGTTAACAGATACACTGCAGCAGAGACAGAGTGTGTGAGTGTCCAAGAGCATGTATGAGGTGAGAGTAGTCCCAGTATCTGAACCTGTGCTCCCCATCGGGGGACCCACCTGCCTCCTGAACCGCATGCAGGACAAGGCTGGACATCCCAGTGAGGTTTGCAGGTTACTGGCATTCTAGAAGTCCCAGGAGAGTGATGGATGGAAGCCAGGTCTATTCTGTCACAGAAATTGGAGAGAGTGAGAAGCCTCAACAGAGACTCACAGAACTGATGGAGATGCCAGGGGTTTTCTACAAACACAAGGGGTCATTTACACATGAACTCTATGTGGACATCAATGTAAACCCTCAATATGGGGCCTCTGGGTGGCTCAGTTGGTTAAATGTCCCATTTTGACTCAGGTCATGATCTCACAGTTTATGAGTTTGAGCCTTGTGTCGTGCTCTGTGCTGACAGCTCAGAGCCTGGAGACTGCTTCATATTTTGATTCTGTGTCTCCTCTCTCTCTTCCCCTCCCCCGATCGTACTCTGTCTCTCTCCCTCTTAAAAATAAATAAACATTAAAAAAAAGAAAGCCTCAATAAAGTTAAAATGGTTGAATTTTATTAAGATATGTTGAAGGTAAAACACCTGAGATCAGGAAGGATGATGTTAATTAAAAATATTCTTTCATCTATTAAATGGAGTTCATTATTCTTCTAAACTCTTGTTAATGTGGGAATGATCAAAGATATGTTTATCCCAGTGCCTGACCCTGGGAAAGTTTGTGTATTCCCATTATCATGGTTTATTCCAAACGGGGAGGACACGTGTGTGTTTCCACAGCTTTGACATTCCCTTTGCGGTGTTCATGTCAGAAGAAGTGTGCAGAGCCTGGATCTGAAAACACTTGAGAGGAGACCAGCCCTAAACCAATCTCTTGTCCTGGATCATGAGCTCCCTGGTCTCTGAGTTCCCCCTGGTGGTTGTGATTACTCCCCGTTGGTCCCCGTGCTCCTGTTGTTTCACAGACCCCTGCAGAGATACAGTGACTCCTTTATTCCCCTCCCCATTTATGCAACATGCAAGGGTGAGACCCTTCCATCATGAGCACTGCAGACCCTTCTGTTCACAGGATGTCTCCTCCCACATATTTCCCGTCTTTGAACCCCTCACTCTGCTCCTGATGTATAAATATACAGTTATATTTCCTTTAATCATTGGTGAGCAACAATATTGAATAGTCACCCTTATCAGCTGGCAAGAGTCAGAAGAACTTTTCATTTGATAATCAAGAGAACGAAAAGAAAGATTTTTGGGCTCAGAAATTGTACTTTCATGAAACTGGGATAAATGTGATCAGCTTCAAACATGTACCACCTTTAAGAAAAAAAGGAAGTGTGAATCCCAGAGACAAGTTGGAATCTGAGATTCAGAGCATTCTGTCTTTGAACCTAACAGGTTTCGGGGCGCCTGGGTGGCGCAGTCGGTTAAGCGTCCGACTTCAGCCAGGTCACGATCTCGCGGTCCGTGAGTTTGAGCCCCGCGTCAGGCTCTGGGCTGATGGCTCAGAGCCTGGAGCCTGTTTCCAATTCTGTGTCTCCCTCTCTCTCTGCC